CTTTTTGGCTGATATAAGATTTAAAACTTGGTTAGATGGACAGTTTTTGCAGTTGTTGTCGGGTCTTCAGAGATAAAAATGAACGCAGCAACACAAAAATAAAAAGAATAACTATAAACTGAGAGTGTTTAAAGGACTGTCCAAAACAGGTTAGATGTTTATTGCTTATCTTTTTAAAAAAGACAAAAATTAAAAGCTCTGATCTTTATTACGGCAGCTGTTTTTAATTTGTCTAGAATTAACAAGACTTTATTTTTACCACTGCTGGGATCTTATCAGCTCTGTTAACATTCAGTGGAACGCCCGCGTGCCTTTTTTGTTTTGTTTTATTTTGAAATGTCGTTTTGTGTTTCTCTTCAACCTATGTCTGTGTGCAACGCATCAAACTTGACGTCTAGGCCCTCCTCTTTTGATTGACACCTCATTTGACCAACTGGGTTCAAGTATCGGCTGTCCAGAGCCAATAAATATATGAGAAGTGACTAACTTCCGGTTCCCGCATCCTGGACTTGATTGACTGTAGAATCGGCCAATCAGCTCCAAGCTTTGTTCTGATGCCACAGTTGTGTAGCCAATCACCGTACCTTTCATTTGGTGTATAAATTCAGGGGGTGGAAACTTTGTTTAGTGACTGACAAGCTAAACATGGAGGAGGTCGCCATATTTAGACAGTCGTGCTACGCTAACGAAGGAAGCTACGCTCGCAGAAAAACATTTTTTCCCATAGTTTTTTGTCCAGTTTTCTGACTAAACCTGCTGATAAGGTGAAAATATATTTGTTATTAAGTGTTTCGAGTGCTTCAAGACATGGAAAAGTGATTTTTGTGGCCAGGAGAAGTAAAAATGTTTGGATAAAAAGACTTCCGGTCGGCCATTTTGAATGGCTAATTTCATCATATTTGAGGACAAACATGCATCAAATGTGAGTAAAAAACAACTATTTTTTCACTGCTGGAATGTTAATGCTTTGAAAGAAATAAGGATATATTGGTTTATTCTTGTGGTTTGGCTGTTTATTGGTGGAAATTTGGCTGAATGTACTCCAGTTGGT